GGGGCGACTCTATCTATTGCTCCTTTCAAAACGCACAAAACTCCACGTGTACTTAATGAAACTGCTTTAGTACGTTTTCATTCAATTGTTTGTTCTTCTCCACTTTTTTGCTGATATTGTAAATGAATTCTTCTCAGAGCGTCTTAAACATGAGCTCATAATGTTAAAGGCTAATAAACACCCCCTTGTTTTAGATTTCATCCCACTGCACTCTTTTATTTTACGTTACCTCTACAACCTTTTCTTCCTGGTTTTTGATCTCGCAGTCATGAATCTCAAGAACTTCTGTATTCTTCGAACTTTGGCACTCCTCCGACTTCATCCAGCACCACACTGAGCTCTAAAAATTCACTTTACGATACTTTCCCACCTTTCATCTGTCAGGTGTACGTGCAGAGCTACCACCAGGCGGTTGCCAGGCGACTGCAGGCCATCACCGAGAACCAGCTGGAGATCACAGACATTTACTCCCTGCTGGACTGGCTGCACAACATGTACAACAGGTACACACACAAGAGACACAAGCATTAAACATTCTGTTACTCACAAAACAACAAAAAGTTCCAGGAAGCCACATATACCTGAGGAGTCCAGATTAACATCTAATTTTAAGATATAAAAAGGAATAAAATAAGGCCTTTTGTTATAGTTTTAAAAATCTGTAAATGGTGCAGGAGAATGTACTTGTTGAGTGTCTTGAAAGATATTTTTTACCTATCACAAAATTATTTTGCTTGTTGTGTCCTTATGTTTGTTTCAGAGACGTTCTGGGCACGGTGTGCATCACAAGTCCGTTCAGCCGCTCTCATCTCAGTCCTTTGCTGCCTTCAGAGACGGTGGACAGACTGGAGCTGGACTGTCTCAACTCTGTGCGGGTGAGGAACAAAAACGCTGCTGGAATAACACATACTGACTGTTTAATACAGTCCAACAACATCTGTGTTCTACAAGGTTAAATTATTGTTTTTATTGTGACTGCAACAAGTGAAATATTGGATGTTCTGGTAAAAGAAAAAAACATTTCAGCCAAACTTTAATGAGCTAAAAGTGAGAAGTTTCTTGTTCTAAATCCACTCTGATCCTGTATTTGATCATGTCTATAAACCCCTCTATTTCAGCCCTGCTCAGAACAGGCTGTTTCTGTGTCTGTACCTTTAAATATGTAAATGATCTGTGTCTGACCACGCCCCCTCTCTGGAAGGGCTTGGGTGTACTCGGTCTTTCTCGCTCCATGTCCTATTGTTTACGGTGAGAAGGCAGACTCAGAGGGCAGAACAAACACCTAGCTGTGGGAGTGTCACCCACCTGGGGGAGGGGCTACTGCCCTTTGTGATGTCATGAAGGGAAAATCTCCAAACAGCCTGTTTGAGCACACATTTTCTGAAAAGTGGAGCAGGCAGAAGACGGAGAGGATGGACTTTTCTCATCATTGGGGGGTTTGAAGAGTTTGTTAGAGGAACATGGGGAAGAGGATTTTCATACTATGTGACCTTTACATCAATTCCTCAATCTTTAAACCTGCTGTTCTTCAAACATAAGGTCGATGCTGTTTATTGTTTTGACTGGGAGTGAAAGAACTTAAGCTAGCTCTGATAAAAATTAGTTATTGTTTATCCTCTGATATTTTTTTCTCTAAATGCTCTTCTTGTTGGTTTCTTGTTTTTTATCTTTAATTGTTTTTGCCTTTTTTGAGAACAGATAAGTTGCAATACAAACAGCTGATCAAAAGAAGGGCTGGAGTTTAAAAAGTTAGCTTAATGCTACAAGCTACACACTACTTGCTATAGATTCTTCTGCTTGGTTTGGATTTGCTGATGATGTGCAATAAGTTCATTAAATGGTGAGCGGTCTTGTGTGAAACGTAGCTGCATTATTCAGCTGTTGATAGTCAAAGTAAACACCCTCTAGATTATTTTTAAAGTTGAGGTGTGTTTGTTTTTAACGCTGGCTCCTCCCTGTTCAGGCGAAAGTCACCACGGAGCTGAGCCAGGTCCTGGAGGAGGAGGAGAAAAGGTGGATGGAGACACTGCACATTGAGGAGTATCAGATCACTTTGGCCAAGACCGTCATACAGGTGATCACTGTGTAACAATGGTAACGGGGGGATAATGGATCCACACAGCTGCTGGCGGCTCTGATCAGTGTTTCCTGTCAGTTTAAATAAAGGTTATTGAATCAGAGCGAGGTGTTACATAAAGGTGGATTCCGCTGTGTTGTGTACACTGATTGTTTTCTGAGTCGTTCCTTGAATCGCCGCCAAAGTCAACATCGAGCACTTCCTGATCTCACACACTCACACACACACACACACACACACACACACACACACACACACACACACACACACACACACACACACACACACACACACACACACACACACAGAGTCCTGTTCTTATGACGTCACAGGACCCTGCATTGACTTACATTGATTTTCCCGGGGACTTTCTCTAACCTCCCCCTCAAACCAAGTCTTAACTCTACAAACTAATTGTTTAAAGTTTGCAGCAGAGGAGACACATCATGGGTAATAACTTGTACACAAACATTCATACAAATAAACATTAATTGTGTTTTAACTGGTTGCTGCCCTCTGGTGGAAAAATTGAGTATTGCACGAGAAAACAATTTAACAGGTTTGAACAGGTTTTATTTACCAACTGAAGCAGTTGTCCAAAGAGAGTTTTAGTCAAACACTTTGGAATGCATGTAAAATGTAAAGTATTAAAAGCAGGTTGTCGGATAGCCTAGCGGTTATGTATGCACGGAGACTAGTCCTCATCGCAGCTGCCGTGGGTTCAAGT